GTTTGGATTGATAATTGGATATATCGATCACTTACAGGTTGTAACTACAAGGGACTTGTAAGACAAATGACTTATTTCCGGAGGAGGTAACACCTTGGATATCTTGAGGACTAGGCACCGTGACAACTGAATAATTCTCGTAGCTTAAGGCGCAGTAAAACGACAGCTATCGCTCCTTGCACGGCTGCAACAGGAGGGACAGGCTTCTGGATTTCTTACGGCCTGATATTTGGATTATCGTCGCCCGAAATGTTACATTATTCAGTCGTGTGGGAGTATGCCGAAGATTAATAGGGACTTTCGGCCTCTATCTTGAAAATTGAAGAGTATAAGGCAAGGAATCAGCTGGGTTACAGAGGCAGAATGTGAAGAATATTGTCACTCGGACTTGGGGGGTGGGGGATTGAAGTACAGGCGCCGTCCGGGACATTGAGATGGATGAGAAGAGTAATGGCCCTTTTGAGAGCCACGGTATTACTTCTTGTCACAGGAAGAAAGTAAAATTTTGAGAAAAGGCAGTCATCTTTAACCGCCTACAAGTTTACACGGTGTCACAACTCCGAAGACGACAATCTGAGCAGACACTTGTCAGCTCGATGATTTCTAGGCATACTGTATTCCATTCCTCTCAGTTTTATCTCAACGGGGAATCCCTAAGACATATTATCTCTCCGTTCTAATCCATTACTTCTCCAGCGTGCTACCCATCCGTTCACCCACTCTCTTCTTCTTAGCGCGTTCCCTTTCGTCTTTTTATAGCCTCCTCAGACCTTACACACAATTACACATACACAACGCGAAACGAGAAGGAAAGAAGAAGAGATAACAAGTAAAGGATAGAAAGAAACGGGGAGAAGGTTTCAAAATGCAAAACAAGAGAAGCAAGAAATTAACCCATTCTCTACCGTCAGATGTTTTGCCGAAGTAGCAGCAGTAGGGCCACTAATTAAGCTATATGGCGGTAGACGGTAGTGAAACCAAGAAAAGAATTATTGAAGCGCCTTCAGCGGTCTTGCCTTAATGTACAGCGTGCATCTCTTGAAGATGGGCCCCCGTGTTTCCACTGCGTCCTATGTAGTGTTCTTCCATTTTGTAAGAAAAAAGTCTACTTGCGTCATCTGTATGATATACTTGCGTGTATAATTTCCTATATGACCCCCACTTTGAATTTTAAACAAGTTGACCAATTTTAACCTAACTTCGCGTGGTCTTTATGCAACAGAAAATCACTTCAATGTCGTATTTCTTAATTCACTTAGAACAGCAACAACATGGCGGACGCCCGCACTCCTGATATTCGAGCGCATTTATGATGTTCAATTTAGGGCCCTCATATGATGTATTGTAACAGGCGTTCGTAGAATATTGTGATGTATCGGCTGACTGCTAGGGAACGACGGCAACATAGACGCGGCCAACAATACAGGAGCTAGGCACGTTCACGTGTGCGCGGTGACATTACACAGCCATAGACAAAGTAATCCAGGTGGGTGTTTTCTGTAGATCCGCGCCGAGACCGCTGCTAATCAGCAGCCAGCGAGCAAATAGACTGGCTAGGTAGCAATCACATGGGAACACCAACAGACACGTGCAACAATGAAGGAGCCGAGTTTTCTGTGACGCATGGTCCGTGCCGTGTCTATATAAGTGAGCCGAAATCCGAGGCTAGGGACTGGAAGCAGTAGAAGTACAGAAGAGTCAAGAGAATTGAAGTCAGTCGACGTAGATCAGAATTCAGGCAGTCGGCAGTCGAAGGAATTAGACTCTGGCTTAGTGTGTGACTTTACGTGTGCTGTAATAGAGTGATATTGGGAGAGTGTAATTTAGTGAGACTTTCATAGCTCCTGTGTTATAAATCCGTTGCCAGGAAACGGATAGTGAAGACTAGTGCAGATAGACTGAGAAGATTAGTGTGGAGTGATTGTAAATTGTGTGATTCAACAATAGTTTAATAATTGTTTGTAGTTACGACATGTAAGTGACCAATATATCCATTTACCAATCCAAATCCCATCTCTAGTTACTAAACACGTGACGATATTTAATCCATGTTCCGTTAATTGTCTCGTAGAAATTAAGATCACAACACAACTGTCATGCGAAATGATTTCGTTTGTCCTTAGGTGCCTCCGTGATAACTAATGACTTATTGGTGCTTAGTTGGTTGCATTTCATACGGAGATAGAGCAGAAATGTTATAGAGCATATTAAATACTATTTAACAAATCTCGCCTAACCGCTGTTTCCTATTAATTAATTCTGTCGGACCGGAATTTGATATGGAATTCTTGCTGCTTTGCTTTACTTCGCTTATGAGACTAATGCGGCCACACTAAATCTTGCAAATTCTCTAAATTCTCTTACCAATTTAACTATATGGCTTTATACTGACTTGCTGTAATGTCGCCCCTACCTTAGAATTTGGCAACGTATTGTTAACAAAGGTAGTTATGGAGTCCATTACAAACACTAAATATTGGATGTCGCCTCACAAAACCTTGTACAGAGTTAATGTAAACAATACACAATACGTCATCACCAGGGCCCTGATTTTGATGACATGTCGTCTTTTTCCTTGTATCCTATGCGATGCTCTTAAATATATAAATCTCGGATATGAGCTGCTGGTTACAAAAATGTAAATTTTATAGTTAATTTTTTGTCATTTTTTGACATTTTTAGGTTTAAGGTCATTTTTTCATTTTGGGGTAATTTTTTGGTAAATATTTGGACTTTTAAGGGTATTTCTTGTCATGTTTGGCCATTTTAGGGAATTTTTCTTCATATGTTTTCTGAAATGTGAAAAATATGGAAGCGAAGTGTTCTTTCTTTTCTCCTTTAGGTCATTTTTCTGGATTCTTTCGGTCATTTTATAGGTCATTTTTTAAATATTTTCAGGTCATCACAATCTGGGCCCTGGTCATCACATTTGGCTCAGTGTTTCAACCTGGCTTCGTTCTTCATCATGGGGCTAAAATACATTGGTGATGTTTAGGGAAACGCCATATTTCAGGAAGAAAAGGAAAATCTTTAGATGCTTTTGCAGCATTGCGTGCAGCTCGGTGTTTCCCTTGTCGCCGACCAACGTACGCACGTCTCCCTCCTTGCTTCATTTTTACGGGACTGATGCTTCAGTTGAATGAAGTTGACTTGGTGGGTGCAGGCTACTAACGGGGTCGGTGCTCAGGAGACCTCCGGAGTTTTGATTGGCCACAAGGTTCACTAAATGATAACTGGACAGCAACAAACGCACTGATTACGTCTTTCTCGCTTACATTGGTAAACTCCCTTAATGAATTCGTCAGTAAGTGCTATAAATAACTCCCTAATTGATTTCTATTAAAACTCGTATTACCCGTGTAGGCGGCTAAGGCACTATGCTACAAGCCGGAAGGTTTCGGGTTCGATTCCCGATGAAGTCATTGGATATTTCAGTTGACGTAATCCTTCCAGCCGCACTATAGTCCTGGGGTCGACTCAGCCTCTAACAGAAATGACTAAGAGGAATCTTCCTGATACTAAAGGACAGCCTGCGTGTAAGGCTCACAACCACACCGCCATCTTGTCTAGAAACTGTGCAGCCTCAACGTCTCAAAACTATATCGGCTACTACGGCTTCTTACAGGGAAAGCTTTACCTTTACGTTTTACCCATGATGAATTAAGCAATAGGACGTTTTGTTATTACGTAATCGCCTTAATAAATTCAAATGTTTTAACTGCATTTTAAGTAAAGAAATAAATTAATACAAATATATATTTATAACCCGTATCTCCAAGTTATAAGTAGGGCTTAGAGAGATCAGTGTCCAGGTAATGTACTTAGAGACGTAATCGAATGAATTTATCTCATTGTGAACAGATACTTACACCTCTCTTTTTTCCTTAATATTAAGAATAATTATTATACTGGCATGTCTGTTAATTATTCATGTTGTTACAGTTCACCAGTATAGGTGTGTTCATATTGAAATTTAATTTCAGAGTCATTTATGTCAAATTGTAGAAGTGATACAAATTAACAGATTCGCACAGATCACGGCTCTAGACAACGAGTTCTCAAGCCAAAATACAGGTCCTGTGGCCTTCTGTCCATGTCTCATACTTCCTGTGGTAGATCGGGATGTCGAGCGGTGTATATGTTTTCATGGCTGGGTCCAGTGATTCAGGCTTGCTCTTTCTAAGGGACCCAACAGAATAGGTGTTTCCCTCACCTGAGAACGGAAACAGATCCAGTTTCCGAAACGTCGTGTTTTTCTTAGTTATCTTAAAAACCAGGACGATGGATAAAGTCCGAAAACCCAATATCTCTGTGTGTTATACACCATCGTCAGAATCCTATAGTAACTACATATTTCAGTGTATTTTGTTTTTTTTCGAATAGTACGCTAAGAAATTCAACTGCGTCCCTTTTGTACCAATGGTTTTAGGTGTTTGTTAGAGTACGTAAAAATGTAAGTTGGATTGGAGGTTCTTACTGCGGCGACATTGAAGTGTACTCTCTTCTTGAATGCAAATCCGTGGAGTCCGGTAGATGTCCAAGGACGTTTCGGAGAAACGCATTCCCTCCATCGCCAGGAAAAAAATGTAAGCCAACCTAATATCAAGCAAGAAGCAGGCTGTTTCTTGCTGGTTCCTTGCTTGGTTTGCTTGTCAGTGGACTTCTACCAGACTTCACGGCTTTATATACCAGAAGACTGTTCTCTACGGGATGCGACACTGTCAACTAATTGCTTAAAATTGTTACATATGTTTTAACCCAAATTATTTATATAACTCCGTTGGTTTCATAGTTATTGACTGTTTTCATTCATTCGTTTCTTTAACGAAGGGGCGTTTTTATGTGACAGCTTTTCTTATAGTTTTCTTGCAGGCTCATTTCATTCCTTGATTGCCTGAGTGCCTTTCTGATATTTAAGTTGTAGGTTGCAATGACAAGCATTTACGTAACAGCAAAAAAATGCCTGATATTAATATTTTCTTTCATTCTTTTCTTTTCAGACGCTTCGGCATGTACACCTGTGCAAGTACGCCTAACAGTTCTGCGGGATCGCAAATATTTTCTCGAACGATTCTTCTTCTCCTGTAGGAGGGGAGCAAGAGGCTATATAAATGGAAGTGTTGCGTAGTTCGTGAAACATTGTCTATAGGACGAAGAAGAAGCGACTCTAGTTACTGTGTGAACTATCAGTTGTTCCTTGAGTTTATATAGCCATGTGCGAAACTGTCCATACTAAATGTGCAAGATACTGCAGTACTGAACAGGGAAAGCAGCGCGATATAAGTGGTGAAAAATGTGACTTTCCCAATTTTCCGGCCACTCCTGGAACACTAATCGGAGTCCGCAACAATTAAAGTTTGATATTGATGATCAACTAGAAATATTTTTATCCAAGATGTGAATAAAACCGTTATTCTTATTTATTGGAGAGGAATATGGCGTCCATATTTAGTAAGAAGAAATCATATAGTAGTGACTATTACAATGTATTTCCAAAAAGTTTTGAAATTTGTGATGAGTTTTGCCACAATGTGCGAGTGTTTACGTGTTTTTGCAGGTAGCTGTTAGTAGAATAATAATTTACGGCCCGTTTCTACACTGAGTAACTCATGGAAGTGTGATATATATATATAACGCTTACCAAAACACATATTCATTATTTTTGTTTTATCTGAAGAGATACCCGTATTCCCTGTTAATTCGAGTCCAAATATGGGTGTGTTTACTTATCCAGACCGAAGTGCAAAACCCGCCGTGTTGCTCCGATATTGGATTCAGGTTCTACAGTTGGCGACCCTGTTCCACGCTTTGAGTACTCATGGTGTTGGTGTGAATACTGCGAGTGTTGGTAACAGTGCTGCCGGCAACACGCCAGTGATGAGTACGCGGATAGTGCAAACACGATACGGGAAACTTCAAGGTCTGGTTCTACCAATGGAGAACCAACGCCACTTGAAGCCAGTGGAAGTTTTCTTAGGGATCCCATACGCGACGCCTCCTGTAAGATCGAATAGGTTCAGTCCGACGCGCACCCCGTCGCCGTGGGACGGTGTGAGGATAGCGGACACCCCGGGCCCCGTGTGTCCTCAGAAACTCCCCGACATCTCCAACGAGACTGCCGCCCTGGAGAGAATGCCCAAAGGAAGGGTGGAGTACCTCAAGAGGCTGCTGCCATATCTCAGGAACCAGAGTGAGGACTGCCTGTATCTTAACATCTACGCTCCTGTGCAAGGTAGGAGCAAGTCTCTGCAAGATCTATACCGGCGGACCTCAACTTACGAACACAATGCCTTCTTTGAATTGTGTTTGTAGGTTGAATTTATTCTTTAAGATATATCGTAAAATTTGTTACTGTTAATTTCTCCATGTACAGGTAAACACGGGGTTCTGTGTTCGTTAAATGATTTGGGAGGCCGTGCATTGTTACTACATACGAATTGTTCGTTTCTTGAAAGTTCCTAAATATAAGTTCGCCTGTATTCAGTCCCGAGATATATCGGATATGCATAATGTTTACATTTCTTCACTATCATACACGCGGAACTCCATTAAAACAGATCTAACCTTATTACGGCTTGAGCTATTACTCGCAACACATATTGGTCATATCCGTTGTGATTAGGAATGTGCCAAAGAGAATTTATGAATGAAATGCACCACACTTTGACTAAAACACCTCAGAGGGTACACATATCTTGAGGTTACAACCTCTGGAATTTAAGTTCTGTGTGTTCTTCGATATCTGGATTTGAGTTACAGTCAACTGTTGAAAATAGGATCGGTTAGCTTCCTAATTATTCTTTCTTTGTTAAGCGAGACTGAGTCCACTTGGTACTGCGGCCACTTCTGGCCTACTGTACCAGCCCCAGGTGATAGGTGAGGGTGATTGTCGGGCAGTTGGTAGAATGAAGATTGGCAAGGGAAACCGAAGTACTCAGTGAAAACCTGACACAGCGCCAATTTGTCCATCACAAACCCCACTTGACCAGACACGGGTTCGAAACCGGGCAGCCGCAGGGGGTAACCGGCGACTAACCACCTGAGCTATGAGGCAGCCTTTTCTTTCTAACGATGACACAGTTCTCTACGTAATTATCTATGTTGTAAATCGAGAGGTTTCGAGAGAACTTGACGTTTCTGAAGAACATTGTCTCCGTCTTCAGTGTTCATATTTAAGGAAAGCAAGAATCCAAGAGAGGCACGCGTACATTTCCTTATGATTTCTTACTTGGCTTAGTGTTTGGTTCTGAAAATAGAGACGATACTACACGGAGTTACATTCCACAAACCCATATTCTTCACAATCCCCGCCGACGGAGTCCCAAAATGCAACATCAACATTTACTGCATAAATGCAATTTGAAGTGAGATTGGGCAGATGACTTCGACTGAAAGTCGTGAAGACAATAAATCAGTGAGTAACAAATGTCAAGAAATTGATAAGGAATTTCAGATAATTAATGTATTTGTCTCTTCTCCACGTAATCCAAACAGACTCAGGAGCCCACCTGTCCTCCTATTCAATGAGTATCGGGGCCATTTCCGCGAAATAAAGCAGCCGGAGCGTGACGCTTACCACTCACATGCAACTAGTGCCGAGGTCAAGAAAACGTAGATCTCTACATCCACTCGCCCATACGCCTTCATGGCTCAGTGCTTAGTTAAACATAGGGACATCCTCACTTTTTACATTTACCTTTACCTCGTTACGTGAAGGAGATGTGTCCCCGAGTTGTGTACGGATATCGCAAATTCATAAACTGAATTATATTCAGTACTTACTCTTAGGGATGCGATCTTAGCCTTCATGTTGTAAAATCTTTATGAGTTTCCTGACCTAAGATTATGAAAAATAGTTTTTTCTTTCGATGTTATTAAAGCAGCATTCAGAGGTAGGTTTCACTGCATACTATCACCAGTTAATGGCTCCGTGACTAATAATAACGGGTTTGGGATTGGATTTATTAACACCTTGTAAAATCACTCATCATAAAAGTCAATTACAAGAACTCATAATCTCCAAACGAACCATTCTCCCTTGACTATCGAGGACTTGCTCAATCTCTCTCTCTTTCTTTGTCTCTCATTTGAATCTGTCCTGTATTACCTATATAGTTTCGAGGCGAACCCACAGAAAATATATCCGTTGCCCAACAGTGGATATATGAGGACATATAAAACACCTCTTCCTCTACTGCTGTATTTACAGCGCCGTTGCAAAGAAACGGAAGTCATCAGATTGTTCCCTGTCTATTCTTTGCCACGAGTTTGTTTAGCAAATCGCCGACAAGAAACGGGTCTGCACGTCACGAATTGTTAGCATTCTTTCCAAATTTCCAGCATACAAATACGCGCAAACGAATTGGCGGTAGGTTAAAATTGACAGCAGTTTGAGAACGTACGTAGTGCATTATACGGCAGTAATTCATCTAGACAGAAGTTAATATTCCAGATTTGAGAATGTAACTGCCTTCCACATGTCATAACCGAAAGGGATAATTTCTGCTTGTGAGTAGAGAAATTCTGTGAAAATTTTGCCATGGAGAAAGACGCTTTATTTTTAATTTGCAATTTAAGATAATCTCATTTATAGTATATTTCTTTCATGTATATACGTATATATATATATATGTGTGTGTGTGTGTGTGTGTTAGTTCACATGAACACAGAATACAGACAAACAAACTCCGTGATTTTAGTCCGCAAGCGAACTATACCGAACGAGCGACGGCCGCTGGTTAGCGAATTTTAGTGCCAACTTTAGCAGGTAGAGGGTGTCGCGTGGTCAGCGCCGCAGGCCGTCAATTTCGGTTTTCTAGACCGGAGCCGCTACTTACTTGAAATAGCTCCTCAGTTATATTCACGAGGCTGAGTGGACCCCGTTCCAGACCCACGACTTCTCAGAAAAAATTTGGTAGAGCCGGCAATCGAACCTGGGCCTCTGGATCTCTATCCAGAAACTGTGACCACTACACCACAGAGGCGGTCCATGGACACAGAATATCTTTCCCAGTTTTAAAGACATCCTGGGGAACTTGTGAACAATTCATAAAAACCTGTAATCCTAGTCATGTATGTATGTATGTATGTATGTATGTACACGTATATACACGTACATACTGGACAAAATATTGGACACACTACAGATACTGTAAACATTTCTCTATTAATATGCTGTTGGACCAATTTTTGCCTTCAGGACCGCCGTAGTCCCTACTGGAATGGACACACACAAGTTTTGAACAGCCTCTAGCGGCATTTCATTTCATTCTTCTTGAAGAACGTCTTCAAGTGGCTTTAGAGATGCAAAGATGGGAATCGGTTTCTCACTGTAGTCTCCAAAACTGGCCAGAATGGTTCAATGATGTCCAAATCTGTTGATGCTGCTAGCCAAGGAAGATGCTGAAGTTCACCTTCATACAGTTCCAACATTGTCGTCGTGGTAGAATACATCTTTGTTAGGAAATAACATCTGGATTATGTGATGCACTTTATTATCCACCCTGTCCACGAACTCCCTTCCACAATAAGAGAAGACAGCACTAAAAGCATACACAACAAAGTAAACACTGAAATAGCCGCCAGAAAAATACAGTGGAAGTATTCTACGAAAGAAACTAATAACAAAAACAAAGATGGCCCAAGGGCACAGAAATCAAAGTGTACAGTGCAGTGGTCTCCCCAGTAACAAAAACGTTGCCTGATGATGGTCCATATGTGGGCGAAACATGTTGCAGTAGTGAACTAATGTATAATTTTAATGATATTTTAAAGCATTTAACAAGCACCTTTTTTTTTCATTGGCGCTACAGCCCTCATTTGGGCCTAGGCCTACCTCCATGAAACTCTCCGTTTCACTTCAATTTACTAGATCTCAGACATACGATAGGACTCCTTGGGCGGGTGATCAGCTCGTCGCAAGGCCTCTACCTGTACACAAACATCCATGCCCTGAGTGGGATTCTAACCCGCAATCCCGGCTTCCGAGCGAGCGAAGACAGTGCATGCTGGGCTACTGTGACCGGCAACAAGCACTTTTAGTATATTAAATATATTATTAGTGTCTCTTATGTAGGGTTATGTTTGCATTATAGATGGTATACTTACGCTCTAAAAATGATGCTACAGAGAGTAATCAGACGGTAGAATATTCGGTGTTGCCAGTTGAAGTTCTTTCAGTGTAGCCGACACAAATTCTATTCCTCAGTTTCCTACTGTTTCCATTATATTGTCCACTCCGAATATATATAATATATATATTACAATAGATACATTGACACATCTTGTTAAATTCGTTATACTTGTATGTGTCTTCCGCTTTTCGGGGAAATAAGGGTCTGTGTAATGTGAGTGATGATTCGCGGAAATGTGTTTACCGACCCGTTGCCTAGCAATAGGCATACACGCCACACTATCAGTTAACAATGAGGATGAATTCGTCATACTTTTTTGTCAATGCTGATTTTAGAAATTTAATAATTTATGAGGGATTCAGTGGTATGAATGAGTGAATGTATGTATGAGGGGTAGGCCTTCTCGGCCCTTGCACCGCGACCTACAGTGGTCTATTGTGCTTCCCCTTTTGAGTATCCCCTCAGCACTCCTGTGCTTCGAAGAAGCGCAGGATTTTGTACGTGGGGGCGTCAAAATAGTCACTTGGTTCCATAAAGTATTGACCCAAGTGACATTCAATAGTATAATGCTCACGCCACATTTCGAAAAATTCGGTCACTAGAGTCAGATGACAAAGAGGGTAGTACAAACAAAGCCATCATTTCTTTGGGAAGGATACGTGACTAAGAAAAGGTGTAGAGCTGTGCTGTTGGTTATATCTATATAGTATCTACTAATATATTAGAGTCTTCGTTTTAACAATAATTTCAGTTATGACGAAACGCGTCTCTCTTTCTTGTTGCCTGTGCTGTAGTTTTGTTAACTAGTAATCAATACAGCTTCTAATATCGTCACTATAATTAAACCTCTTTTGATGCGGTTCCTGTATGCACGTTGCAGAAGTAGGTAGGCATGAAACATTCCTACGAAAGATAATACAGATGTTTCTACATGAATTATTTTGGGTGTTGTTATTGAGGGGCGTGTTTTCATGTTGAGTTAAATTCTCATTCGATAACCAATTTGCGGTGATACTGTTAGTTAAAATGAAATGGTTCGAAAATGTTTAGAGTAGCCCACAGAGTGTTTGAAGTCTCAATGTAATGTGAGTTCACTTTT